TACCCATTTCAATACATTGTTTCGATCTAGTTAAGCTTGTTTTCAGTTTCATTAATTCCACCAATCCTAGTTAAGTCCATCATGTCTTTGCTCATGTCCACCCTTGTCGCAAGAAAACAACTGAAACGCACTGACAGGCTCAAAAGGTTTGCCATCCCAACAAAGATGTTACACTTGTTCCCACAATTCAATGGTTCATCATTTCGTGTCTGTGAACTTTTGGCAAGGCCCAATCATTTGGCCTATGGTCATATCCACTCGCACACACGGTTACAAAAAACCTGTAATCTCTAAGGGTTGGATACCCTTTGTCCGCAAAAATCAGTTGGAGGTCGGTGATGTAGTCACAATCCTCAGGGAAGAAGACGAAGCAGGAATCTGGTATCGGATTGAGATCGAGAGAGGGAGCAAGCCACTTCCTGCTTTGTTTCGTGAACTTGAAGAGCAGCAGGTGCCAATATTTCCGACCAGTAATGCCAACGGGGGAGTTGCAGACAATAATGTCAATGTGGGGGTCGTTGCAGCCAACATCCTTACCATCAAACAAGAGACGCAACTGGCCCCTGCAAATGTTCCGCCGATTGCTCAGAAGGCTGAAGAGCTCAGTCTGAAGCCAGATGACGTGAATTTAAGGTTCACACTGGACAAGGGTCAGCAAACACCCATGTTTGGTGGTACACTTCCCTCTCCAGTAGAAGAGGAACTCAAGAGCACTGGCGGCGTGCAGCAGCAAATGGCCCATCAAACCCACCATGATGATACTAAAACAACCAATTTGGACCCAATTCTTAATCAAACCAGTGCAGATGAATTTCGTCCGAACTTGGACCTGACTCTGGCACCACCTGTGGTGGCTTGTGAAGGAAATCAGGCGCCTACAATGGGGTTGTTTGGAACTGAGGTAGAAACCTTCAATCCAAGGATTGTTTTGAATTTAGATCTTACTCTTGCACCACCCACAGTATATTAGGTGCCTTTATTTGCCTTTCTTTTTTCGTTTGCCCACACTTCCCAGATATTAGCTAGATTTTTTTAATATTCCCCCTTTCTTTTTCTTGAATATCCTCGAAATGTAGTGCTGAAGTTAGTTTATGTTTACTTGGAATAATAATATACATGTTGTTCTGGGGACCATGCATATTCATCTGCAATAAAAAATCCCAATCATGCGGAAACTGCTTGACTGGTTGACCCATCTTATTTACTTTGATATAGTCATATGCCTTCGTTTCCCCTAAATTCTGAAAATCGCAAGGGAAAGGACTCAGATCACAGGTCGGTCTCTTCCCCTCTACGCTGAAAACCCATCGTTTTTGGTAGTGCCCCAACGGATCGGTAGATAGTGCTTTCTATGGTGGTGCCCTTGCTCTAACTCGCATCCTGTAAGTCAAGATTTTAGCAACTATTTATGTTATTGTTTCTTACTTTAATTATATATACTTTGCATATGAACAAATGGATACCTAATCCCAAACCCAATTTCCATAGATCTAGTATTGTCATGAGACAGTTTGTTATTATCAACCCCCTTTCCCTCAAAACCATGAGTAGTTAGCTTGCTAATTAGCTCCATGTCTTTTTCCCTTCTCCTTCTTTAATAAGAAATTTCGCCTGTAAGTTTGCAGCTCAAAGGTGAACCTTTGTTTTACTTTGTTTTGGGTGAGTTGTTCTTCATAGGGTAACCTGGCGATCTTGTTTTTTTTTTTGAACAGCAAACATACTGTTATTAATTATTAAGCGGAATACAAGGGTACTCCAAACCCATTCACATCATAAAATTAACGCAAGGTGTCGACACCCCAGAAGAAGTGTCGACACTACACCCGTGTCGGGAAATCTGCTTTCTTTTGCATTCTCACGAAATCTCCCTGTTTAGGACCACAATCCACACCCGACACACCCATTGACTCACCATCTATTGATCATGCATTGACTATAGTTAAAACCACTGCAGTCAATGATTGCTCAATAATCCTACATGAGTCCCCATAACCTAGCATCTATTCCTTCGACACAAAACTCAACTGGCCTTCCATCTATCAGCATTACCCTCCCGCCCACATATTATTTATATGGTACCCTTCTTTTCCTAAGGCCATCTTCCAAGCATGCCACTGGATTAAGAAACCAATCTGTTAAAGTGAAGGCGTACCTTTCTTTTTTTGCTGTGATCCACTGGAACGATTTTAATTGGATTAGTTCCAGCAGCTTCTCTCTGTTAATCTCTTTGCCTTGGAATGTTTTTTGATTTCGAGCCAGCCACACTGTCCACACAAGAGAATTCCATATGCAGTCCCACCCTTCTCTGACATCTTTCTCTTTTAGTTCTCTTTCAGTCCCTTGAAAGGTATTCCAGCAATCCGCTCCCAAAGTAACATTAATACCCCACCATTTTGCACAAGCCCTCCATATCCATCTGGCGATCTTGTTAGATGGAGAAAAAAATTAAAAAAATTAAAAAATAAAAAAAATAAGAAAAAGAAAGAAGAAGAAGACATTCATTTTCTACCTAATTTTTTAAAAGAATTTTTTCCTAAGTTATTGGAAAAAAGTAAAATGATTTTTTTTTTAATTGAAAAACATAGATTTATTGAAAAGAAATTTCTTCTCGGGTTTATTTTAGTCTTCGGAGAATCGGCGATCGATAACGACCCTTTTGCTTCCTGGGAAATCTCTCATGGTGTGAGAAATGCTTCTGCTTTTAAGATCTTTGACCATAAATTTTCCCTTTTTCTTTATGCTTTTGCTGAAACCCTAGATTTTCCCCTTTTTCTCCAATCTTAAAGGTCATTTAAATGAGTGCCTTTTTCCCTTTTTAATTCTCTCTAAGAAAATAATTTAAA